ACTCAAACAAACCGTAAATTAACCAATAAACTACTAATAATGAGTTAGTAAATAAAACATAAAACAATCATTTCTTGGGCTTGTAAATTCTTGTATAGTAGAAGTATTGGAAAATGATGAGAAGTGAACATGGAATAACAAAGAATGACCCGACGATGTAAGCAAGTGTCGATTCGTAGAAAGTTGGATCCGTGAAATCAATACCAGACATAAAGACTGAAACACTATAGAATACATTTGCCATAGTCGCTGAGAAGAATAAGAGAATTGACATCCCTTCAGCGTTCTTAGTTTTATACAAATGCCACGCTTGTGGGAATCTTCCAACAAAGTACAACAATCCCGAAATCCACGCACAAATATCCCCAAAAATCCGTCCAAAGAGTCCATAATTAGACTCTCCACAATACTGTAACACTTCTTCTGGTGGAGTACTTGAACTAACGTCTTCTGCTATTGCAAAGATTAATAACAGAACAAGAGGTAATAAGTATTTCGTTGCGTTTTCGGCCTTGAAAGGTTCTTGATTCGGCTCTTCTTTTGATGATGATGACTTGTCGCTCTTTTTGTCTTCTTCAGACACTGCTTTTTCGGACGAGTCTGAACTTGCAAACTTTTCTTTGTCTTCTTTTTTGTCTTCTTCCAAATCACTTGTCTCTTCTTCTTCTTTGCTTGAATCGTCATGTTGAAGCTTTTTAATATCCGCCTTTGATATTTCGACGTCAGAAACATCCGAATTTCTTTTTGGGGATTGTGCTTCTCCTTGCTTCTCTTCGTCTCCTTCCATTTCCACATCGCTGTTTTTAGCCAAGTCTTCCCCTTTCTTCTTTTCTATAAATAAGATTCTTCTGTTCTATTGGATTCTATTAGCTTTCTATTCTTCGTATGTCTGTTTATAGTACAGTACACCAAAAATAGATTGCCTTTTGTATCGAACATGCTAATAACAAACTACATTTGTCGACAATTCGTTGTCTGATGTATTTATAATAGAAATACTGTGAGAGCATCACTGAGTCGACAATAACAAAGAAGATTGACGTGTACAACTGGATTTGTGTCTGGTCTGTGAAGATGCATCCCAAGAGATTAGTGATGTCACCTGCGATCCACATGATTAAGAAGGTCACCGAGAGTGAGTCCGCCTTTTTGATCATAAACGTCTTAATAATTTGTGGTGCTTGAGCGACAAGCCAAAAGAGGATATTGACCAATCCAAATGCGTATGAGATGTAGTCGACAACGTCGTACAAACATGTCTTCATTTTTGACTCGAAAAATTCGTTTGCTTGCAAGCCGTCACCATTGAGTCGGCACTTGCACCCCATCTTTTTGTTTTTTGTTGTTCCTTAAGACTTATATTAGGGTTCTTTGTCCTTCGATTTAATGCTAAGCATTCTACTCAACTTCTGTTCAACCACATTTTTTGGACATGCATCTCTCCAATGAAAAGCTCCTACTTTTTTACGACCTTTCTTGGCTTTGTGTTTTTTGACACTCTTTTTGTTTCCTTTGTTCCTTCTAGTTTTGAAATGATGATATCGGCAGGTCGAATAGTTTGTCTATCAAAAATAATTACTGGTTTTTCTTTAAACAGAAATCATTTACCGATATAATTTAGTTTCCTTTTCGTTTCACTTTTGTTCAAGTAACTACCATTATAGTGGAGAGTATTTAATGGAAGAAATCGGGGAATTTTTAAATTGAAATTGTTGTTCTTTTCTTTCTTGTTTTTTGGTTAAAACGTGGCTTCCATTTTTCTTTTTGTTCGAAATAGTTCTTCCTTCGTATAAAATTGTAATTCTTATATAATATATTTTATTATATAATTTAGTTATAATGTATCATAGAATTTATTATATTATAAATTAATATCATAAATAATATAAATTATCTTATTACACTATATAGTTATTGTAATGAAAAAAAGATAATGAAGTAATTTTAATTAAACCAAGAACTATAAACAGAACGCACAAATGAAATCATTTGATGCAGAGCCGTGCTGTTTGACTGTCAAGAAGCCACAGATGCTATTACATATAATAAAAGAGCACACTCAATTTTGTGACTACATTAAAAAAGAGATAGTGAATGACACCGAGTTTGAAGCCCTATTTGAAGACACTCGAAAAAAAGAGGTCTCAACACAAACACTTATCAGTGCGTTCAAGTCTGCGTTTTGTGAAACAAAAGTCGACACTTTTAGAATCGCGACGTTACCTCCATTTATCACAGCCAAAAGTTGTATTCTTGTGGTTGTAAATCAACACGCTTCATACCTTCAAACTATAGTTGAAAAGATGAAGAATGTGGACTACTTTTCGGACGTCAGTATAGTTGCTTCGGGTCCTATACGAGTTGTGGCAAAGTCCTCATTGCTCAAAGTGCAAGTCATGTCGAATGACGACGCTGAATTTTGTTTTCAGATCATCGAGAACATAGAAAAAGAGACGATAAGAACACCTGCAATTAATAAAGCACTTTTTGTGTTTGCTAAGGTTGTTGGGAAAATTGACGGAGAGTGTTCATTCACGCACCTTGCAATGGAAATGGAGAATTTTGTTCTCTCACTTAAAGCAATCCAAAACGTTTCTAACGCTTTCAACTTTGAGAACATTCAAATGACTGTGACACAATACTTTAAAAAGAAGAACCTCGATTTTGTATTCCCTGATGAACTCTTTTCCGTTCCTGTTTCATCAAAAGACGTCTCGTTAGTCATAGCTTTTGCTGGAATACCCCCACAAACAACAACACTTGATATCCAAACAGCATTACTCCCATTCAAAGCAATAGAGTTTTTGTTTTATCAACCTTCTTTCTTCTCTTCACAAACAAGAAAATGTGGGGTCTTTTTTGCACGATTCGATACTTTGGAAGACTCAAAGAGGGCGTTTTCACAACCAAAAAAGTTCTTTGCAAGACATGCAGAGTACTTTGAAAAATCCATATTCGAACACCCGCCAAGTGGATTTGTACAATGTACGATGGATACAATTGCGTGGCTTACTGATGAGGAACTAATCTTGACAAATGATACTTTGAGTGATAAATCGAGTGACTAACTATTTATTAACTTTGATTAATTAAAAGTGTATAATTAGTGGTTTTTAATCTATTAAAAACTATTAATAAATAATTAACTAACCAAATAGAATAAAACTCATTTGTATAACTAGACGGTGTTAATCAAGTGTACGATACAAGTAGACAAAGCCCCTTGTAAATGGCGGCTTCTGTGAGAAGCAAACTTTGTTATCATTGAACATGATCCATTTGTCTAATTGCTTTGAGTGACATACATAATGTCCACAATTTGCATTTGCTCCTATGTGAGATACAAATGCAATACACTCATACTTTCCACTTCGTGGGTCGACCTCCACCTCTTCCATCTTTTGTGGCTTCTCTTCTTCGCCTTCTGGAACTTCTCCATTCGCTGCCATAATAATAGCTTCCTCTATATTACCATGTGTGATTTGAAGTGCTTTTATACTCACTGAAGCACTGAATCCCATTTCAACCAATTCTTTGACCAACTCTTCGTATTGATTATCTTCGTTGTGTTGCACCACAGTGTCTGGATCTTCGGGGATTTTTTCGCCAGAAGTCAGTATCCCAATCGCCACCTCAATATTATTATTTGATACCTTCAAACAAATTTCAGAGCTTTTCTGGTCGAACCCCATTGACACCAACATCCCCAAAGACTCTTTGTTCACAACTACTTTTGTGTCTTCTTGTGGTTTTTCGCCAGTGCTTTTTAAAATCCCCAAATCCAACATCTCCATGCCATGAACATCAGCATCGACCTTTCTCATGTCTTCAAAACTAATAGGAATATCTCGTTGTAACTTAATGAGTATGTACTTTGGGAACTTTTGTACTCGACACCTTCGTATTGCGTTCACAATTTGGCCATCGACTCGATAATTATCAATTGGACTCGGTGCCGCATAATTTTTAATCATGTCCTCTATGTTTAAATCAATGTGCTTTCTCTCCATTAACACTTTAAATGGAACGTCCAACATGATTCCTAAAGTCCTCTCCGCCTCCTTTTGATAAGTCGATTTGACTGCTTTGATTTCGTTGCACATCATTATCTTAGTATTGTCGTCGATAATCCTCAACCCTTCACTCTCAACAATTCCAAGTAAGTACCCAAGAAATTCTTCAGCATCTTGTTGCTCATTTGTTAAGTACATTTTCTGTTGAAACCCAACGGCACGCTTCAGCCCAGTAATTGAAAGCCCAATCTGCCCATCACCCTTTTCCGCAAATTTTTGCGAACACTTCCCATCAACAAACCCTTTCGCAAGTCGCATCAATTGGAACGTACAGCTCTTATCCACATTTCTCCAATTCTCTTTTAAAAATGTATCATAATGAGAAACAAGATAGTCCACCACCTCTGGTATAGCAAAAAGAAGTTGTGTGGCTGCTGCAGCATAACATGTGTTTCCATTGTTTCGTATTCCAGTCATGTATGGCCCTTCACAGGGGATATGTTCCACCCCAGCCTCTTCAATCGTTTCTCTTTCCATTTTGAGCATTGCCTCTTTCGCTATTTCGTCAAGTGACAACTGCGTTTTTACCAATTTAGACATGTCGATGCCATAAAAAGCCAAGTGCTTACCGAGGAGTGGGTCTGTGACATCGGTGTCGTTTTCATAGTCATAAATATCAGCGTTTCCATCACTATCAATAGTTCCCAACTTGACAACGAGTGGCATTTTACTTTCATCATAGTGTTTCAACGCGTGCGAGTGTCCTTTTACAAGAGCTTGTTCTCTCCCGCACAAGACACTTCCATCACACAAATTAAGCCACAGATTATCAGTGACATCACACCCCTCAAACTCACACTTCAAGTTCTTCAGATCAATTGGGATGGCTCTAGGTTTCTGAGTCAATTCTTTGGCGTATGTCTTTGTTCTTGTACTTGCTATCTCCACCTTCTTTTCTTTCGCAGTGCATGATATGAAATATTTCACATATTCCTTTAAATTCTCCTCCAACCCTTCTATCTCGATTTTTTTCTCAAAATTTGAAGTTTGGACCAACCAAAACTCCAAATCCGGTTGTGTTGTTCTTCCCCAGATGGGATCTTCAGGCTCAGTGTTTGGTATTTGGTGAATGACTAAATACAAGTCATCTCCACTGACTTGTTTGTGTTTGAAAACACACTCATCACAGAAGCAGTGGCCCTCTCTTAAGCACACATACAACGTATCAAGTAGCTTCGTCTCAATCGACTTGGCACAGTACATACACTCTGTCTTATAAACTTCAGGGCGTTCTTTCGGCACTACAAATTGCATCTCCTTTTTATTTTTTCGAGTTCAAATTTACAAGATTTCATTACAAAAACCTCAAAAGACAAAAATTAAAAAACTCTTCTTTTACTCTGAATTCTGTTTCTCAACTTCAACATCGACTTTCAACTTCCAATAATCACTGAGCAAGTACACCACGGTGATGCAGAACACAAAGAACGGGATAATAATTGCCTCTGGGATATATCTATAGAAATCCGCGTGAATTGGGAATTCCACTGTCGTCTCAGCCTTAAGTCCATGAGAGTTGTATGCTGAAATAACGAAGCTCATGATTTGTGGTTTTGGTGGGATATCAACAACAAATGAATAGTACAGCCCATTACTAGCTTGGTCCTTCCCAAGTCTGTGGTGCTCCATTTCTTCCCCACCGACTTCAAACTTTGTTCCATCGCTCCCTTCAAACAGGACTCTGAAGGGTTTGTCTCCAAACTCTTCGTATAAAATCACGAAAACAACCTCGTTCTTTACAACAGTCGTTGATGTGACATATACACCTCTTACATTACTTGTTCTCTCCAAATTCATTCGGCTTCTTCTCTCGTCAACACACATGGCAATCCCTCCTTTCGTTCCAAAAATATATGACTTTACCATTTCGTTGTTCAGCTCGGTGTCCATAATCAACTCGTGTTTCTTCTGCTTTTCCTTTTGTTTCTGGACTTCGGCTACCCGTGTTTCCCAACTCATCTTATCCCACCCAATCTTCTTGTATATTTTAGATGCTTTGAATAATTCGCGGTTGGCCATACTATCAATGTTTCTGTATATAATAACTGGTTTGCTATACGCAACATCATCAATGTCGATCGCGTGACTGCCTGTGTACAACAAGAATTTTGAATTGACCTGAGCTTGTAATATTTTGGAGTCGTAACCAAAGAGCTTCTTTTTAATGTCAAGAGTCTTGTAAATACCCAAATCTCTCTCAAGATTACCAACTATTGTTCTGAATTTCAAGAAAGAGTACTTTCCACTTGCAGATGAAACAGTGATTGTGATTTCATCACCATCAACAAACACACCAAGTGGACCAATAATTGAACTCTGTCCGACGGTTATAGGGAAGATATCGATGTTCTTTCCATTGATACCGTCTAAACAATGAATCATTCCGTTGCTCGTGGCTATGAACAACATCGCTATTTTCTTCACAAGCACTGTTTTAACAACCTCAATGTTTTGTAAAACAGGCCCGCCAACGTTTGTCTCCCAAATGACTTTCCCCAACAAGTTGAAGCATACAACATTTCCATTGACATCCGCCGTGACGATAGACAAGTCTCCACTTCTCTGTACATCCTCAACAACAACTTTCCCCATCATCGGTCCAACTTGCAAAGGCCACCCGTCTTGTTTTATAATTTTTCCATCTTGGAGACTCAACATGTGAACTCTTCCTGCTGAATTCCCAACGACAATCTTCTCGGGATATCCTTTATCTCCAAACACCTCAAACCCTCCAAGTAATGCGGCACTCTCCTTTGTGTTCATCACAGTTAAATCCAGTGTGGTCAGCGATATAATTTTACCGTTTTGGGGATCCAAAATGCAAATGGCAGAGACACAGTACCGTTTGTCGTTCAACATTTTTTCAATCTTTTTCCCGCTCTTATCAACGTCTGGTGTTTGTTTGATGTAATAGGTAACTGGTACAACGAGTCGCTTCCCATCTTTTGTATCAACAAGTTGTGGATCGCTCAAAATATGCGATCGAAGTCTTGCGTAGTTGAAATTTCCATCCAACCCCGCGTAGTTATCATAAATTGCCGCATGGTAACAGTCGTTATGGTCATCCAATTCGTCTTTGCTACAAGCCGCATTATGAAACAATTCAGCAAGTGATCTTCTTCCCTCCTCGGTGAGTTGCGTTTGGAAGAATGGGTCATCTTTATATTCTTCTGGATTATACTTTACATCCTTATGATGTTGTGTGTGTCTCTCCTTCAAAACTTGCCATCGTTTATTGATCTCGTCTTTCTTTGTGAACAAGTCATCCGAAAACAACGGTGAAATGACTTGTTTGTTCAAGTTTTCGATAATGCACTTACTTTTAGTATCCAACCCTTCGTCCCAATTCGCTGGCACGTACACTGGTGGAATTTTAATCGTTTTTGTTTTGTTGTAGCTTCCTTTTTTATTCACAAAATAAATGAACCCATTTGCTGCTGACACTATAGAGAACTCTTCGTCCCCTTCTTGATATCTGATAGCCTTTGATACAAACCCGCTGTCTTCCACAATCACTGGAAAACCAGGTACTTTATTCCCAGTGTTGACATCTATTGCTTCCATATAATGTGACTGTGTTGGGAATATCACTTCTTTTCTGCCGTCATGGTTGAAGTCCATGACAATAGGTTCTGACACAATTGTTGCGTGTCCAGTAATCGATTGGGTCCATCTAACAATAGGGATGTCGTGAATGGCTTGGTTGCTTTTCTCAAGTAACATGTCCATTGCCTTGTGTTCGTGTGTGTTAACTGGTTCACTGTATTTGGTTTTGACTTCATCAACACCATCGGGAAGGTCTGGTGTCTTTTGCGCGTTGTCTTTGGTTTTGTCCTTTATTTTGTCTTTGGCCTCCGCGGTGAGGAGTATTGCGACAAAAAGTAAAAGACGCATGAATTTTTAAGTTCTCCTTTTCTAGTTTTTTTTAGAATTTGTTGTTAATTATTTTAGTATTAACTTTTTGAACGTTTTATTGTTATATCTTATTTATTAATAAAATTTGGCAGTGAGTAATTGATTAATTATAATCACAAAAATATTCAACTTTTTTTGTAATAACACAAACTTAAGACGAGCAAATACCAAATAACCTTTAAAACTAAAAGCATATTGTAATTTAAGTTTTATTGATAAAAATTTGACTGAAAGGATGATGTGATTGAGATTGGTAGAATGACAAGCCACATAAAGGAGAAAAAACACATAAATTAAGATAATATGCCGATGTCATACTGACATGACAAACGTCATTTTCCCGACGTTAGACATTTTGAAATCAAATGTCTCTGCTCGGGTTGTTTTTAACACCTTGAATTGGTTACAGAATTCGTTATCGAACTTCGTTTCTTCTTTGTTTTTCTGCTCTTTGAAATGAGGCTTCACCTTAAGTCGAGGAGCCAACATTAACCCACCTTGATCTTTCCCTTTCAAAGTAAAGTACTTGCGCTTCTTTTCATTTTGAAGTTCGTCCACTTCGATATGTTGGATACGTTTTGGGGGGCTCAAAAGTTGCCTGTTACCGTTGTTACTTGTTATAAACGTGCACGTTGGTGCGCTGTCGCCATTTGCCTTCCGTTTTGCGCTTTTCTCTTTGAAGTACGCGTTAAATGGTTTTGGTTGTGTATGGGTGGGTGAAAAGTGTGGAGGTGTTTGTGTGGATTTCTGGGGTTCGGGTTCTTGTTTTTGTTGGTAATCCAAAATAGTTGGAGCGATGACCATTTTTCTGGTTTGGATGAAGTCGTGTTCAGGAGCAGCCTTTTGGCCAATGGTTGCATTTTGCCACTTGGGTTTTTCAACAGGAGCTTTAAGAAATTCGCCGTCGTCCTTCTTTGTGATGATCAATTTCTGACGTGGGTGGTGTTGAATAAAAGTTGCTTGGACGTTATCCTTTTGGTCAAGCGAAGCGTGGAAAGGGTTGTGAAAGAAATTGACATGGGTGGTCGCAGAGGCCATGCACTGTTTTGATAATTCAGATGGATAATTAAAAATAGTAAGCAAATCCGTACAGATTGATTCATTATATATATAAAGGTATATCACCCCCCTTGACAACACCAAAAAGTTGGGATATGAAAGAAATACAAATTCTTTTAATTATTCGCCCTTCCTCCTTGGTTGATTTTTTGTCATAAATTCTTGATATATCGGCGTGTTTTCGGGATATCAAAAATACATTTAATTCAAACAAAGATTCATTGTCTATTTTTTCTTTATTTACAAAGAAATATAAATAATTATATTTTGGCTATATTTTGTGGTTGTTAATGGGTTATTTAGATCTTTTGTGTTTGACTGTTTACAAAGAGCCAACAAATGTTTATTTTTAAAACCCATCTATATCTTGTTATTTTGATGAAAGCTATATTTTTATTGTTATCGAGTTATTTCATCAAAACAACTGTTTGTTTGGATATTTCTTTTTGAAAAAAAATGATTTTTTGGTCAAAGCCAAAAATAATTATTTAGTAATGCGAACGATTTTTTATAGCTTTTTTTTTATAACTGTGAAACATATATTTGTTTTCTAACAGTTTTGGGAAGTAACACCATTATAAGATTTCAACAAAAAATATAATTTTCTTTACAATGTGGGTTGAAAAATATTAGTGGTGTTCTCTTATACAGTGCTTTTATTTTAATACAATGTATACAGTTTATTTAATTTATTTGATAAAAAACAATCACATAACATTTGTATTTTATTTACAACTCTTTATTGTTGTGTTATGTCCAAGTTAAGAGCTTCTTTCGAATAACTTAATTACTTGATAAAGCGGCAAATATAAAAAAACGTAAAGTGTGATTGCATATCGATGTTTCATATTTCAGATATGTTTAATATAACAACTCTTTGTAACATTGAAGCTATGCTTGTTAAGTGTTGATGTTATTTATATTATAAATTATGAAGTTAGATCCTTTAATAACATTTATATTTTTGAAAAAAAATGGTATTTATAATAGAACATTTCAAATATATTTAAATTAAAAATGCATTAGTTCTTTTATTAATATAACTCTTTTTTTCAAATAACACCAAATTTTAGATCATTTAGATCATTAATAAAAATAATTGTATTTTAAAAATCATTTTTTTATCATGTTGATAAACTCAATATTTTAACTATATTTTATTATATATATAATTAAAAGTGTTAGTTATAAAATTTAATAATTTTGAAAACTCAATCATCCAATTTTAGAGACAAGAAAAAGAAAACTTCTTCGAATGAATTGAAAAGAAAAACATTTTTGAGCGAATAATTCATATTTTCGGCATTTATTGTCTTTATAATTAATCTAAACCATTGTAATTTAATTTATAATTAATAAAAGAATAATAATAATTATTATCACAAAACAATAAAACATTTATAATTAAAATATAAAAAAGACAAATTATACAATATAATTCTTTTTATTTAATTCATTATTATCAAATTTGGTGATAAAAAGAGAAAAAAAGACTGAGAAACCAAAATAAAAGTTGAAATAATTACAATATAATTTCGTATAGTATCCCAACAAAATCGGGCGTTTCACCATCCTTTTGTTTTCTTTCGCAAACTCAAATTTCTATTTATTAAAACATTTTTATTATCAAAATAGCATCACCCCGAAGCAAAAAGCTGAACTGTAAAAGCAATGGGGTGCATAGGCAGTAAGCCCAAATCAAATACAAACTCCCGCAAACCATCCGCAACAGGCTCTGAGAAGCCACAACCTGTTTCTGTCAAAGAACAAAATTCAACGCAACCAAAGCAACAAGAACAAAACACAACAACGGAACCTCCGAACGACGCAGACGATGACTACGAGGAAATTGTGAACAAAGGTCCGAAGAAAGTGACACAAGACGACTTTGAGTTACTTCAAGTGATTGGTCGTGGGTCCTTTGGTAAAGTGATGTTAGTTCGCAAAAAGGACGACAGAAAGATCTACGCGATGAAAGTCCTTCGGAAGGATGTAGTCAAAAAAAGAAACCAAGTTGACCACACCAAATCCGAGAAAGAGGTCTTGACAAAAATCCACCACCCGTTCATCGTCCAATTACATTACGCCTTCCAGACGAAAGAAAAGTTGTATATGATAATGGACTTTGCCAACGGTGGCGAGCTTTTCCATCACTTAAAAAATGAACAGCGGTTTGATGAGCCTCGGGCGAAGTTTTACGCTGCGGAAATTGGGTTAGTGTTACATTACATCCACTCGCAAGGGATCATATATCGTGATTTAAAGCCCGAGAATATACTTTTAGATAGCACGGGACATGTTGTCATTACCGACTTTGGGTTGAGTAAAGAATTGGGGCAAGGCAAAGAGACTAAAACCTTTTGTGGTACTCCAGACTACTTAGCGCCAGAGATCTTGAAAGGTGTAGGACATGGTGTTGGAGTAGATTGGTGGAGTTTAGGAATATTGATATATGAGATGCTTGTAGGTATTCCTCCCTTTTATGATGAGGATGTTTCTATTATGTACCAAAAGATATTGAAGTCTCAACCACAGTTTCCAAAGAATTTGAGTTATGAAGCGAAGTGTGTTGTGATGGGGTTACTGGAGAAAGAACCCGAAGAACGATTGACTGGGGAAGAATTCATGAAAATGGATTGGTTCAAAGACATCGACTTCGACAAGTTGTTGAAAAAGGAAATCTCCCCGCCTTGGGTCCCTCCTGTAAAGGACGAAATAGAAACAACGCAAATTGACGAAGAGTTTATTGACGAGAAAGCGGAGGATACCCCTCCGAATGGAAATACACCTGCGAACCCAGATAATACGTTTGAAGGCTTTACTTTTGTTCAGAACACCGCATTAGGGGAGAATGGGACAAACTAATATTTTTACTGATTTAGAATAGTTTATGGTTTAGGTTATATAAATTTTTACTATATGTTAACTCATTTTTTCTAACTTGATTTCCACGCCGTTTTAGAGTCAAATAGTAAAAGAAATAGTTAATAAATATCATACGACTAATACCAGGTGTTAAAAATACCAGAAACGCCAGTATTTTAATACATATGTAACAACCATTCCAAGTGATATTTTTGGGTGAAAAATAAAAAGAAAGAGTTTGAAAGCCCGCAATCATTCGCCAAAAATACCGCAACTTTGGAGATTATTGTTCGAGTATAGTTTCTTAAACTATCAAATGATGTGCTTTTGATTTCGTTTTTTTTGGACCCGAAGATTAGAAGGAAAGCGATGCAAAACAAGAAGGAAATGTGTAAGTCGGCGAACTAGAAAAGTAATCCATTGTGAACTCAAAAAAAACAAAGCTCAACATAGAAAATGAGTAAGAACAAGGAGAAGAAGGAAAAAAAGAAGGGAGGAGGGTTTATGTCGTTGTTTAAGAAGAAAAAAGAGGAGGAAGAAATCATGATCAGCGAGCCGTCGCAATTTGAACAATTGGCACACGTTGCGCTGAGTGACTCTGGACTCACTGGATTTCCAGAGGAGTGGCGAGAGAAATTGAAGGAGGCGGGGTTCACCGGCGATGAGATTAAATTGAATGAAGACGAATGCAAAACTGTTGTGACAACAGGAATACCAAACGACCAACCGAGTCGCGCTACATTCTCTTCAAATGTCGAAGAAGAAGAGGATGATATTAGTGGATTTACGACACTCAGTGATCCCGATGAAAATTATGAAAATCTGGCGAAGACGTTATACGGCGATGAAGACGAATATATGGCAACACGCAAAAGTGATGGGATGGAAGTCTCGTTAAGGCGTATGCGAATCACAAAAAAGACTAAACGCGCGGTAGTCAGAGAAGTGTCTGTCCTTTCGAAGTGCAAAAATAAAAACATTGTACAGTACGTCGAGTGCTATTTGATTAATGACATGTTGTGGTTAGTAACTGAATTGATGAACGCGGGAGAACTGACAAACGTGATCGACTTACACCAATCGCTCCCAATGAAAGAGCCACAAATTGCGTATGTCTGCAAACAAGTGTTGCAAGCATTGGAATATCTCCACTCGATGAAAATCATTCACAGAGACGTGAAGTCGGACAATATATTACTCCACCGATCTGGCGCTGTGAAATTGTCGAACTTTGGATTCGCCGCAATTCTGACGGATAAAAACCCGACACGAAACTCAATCATAGGAACACCATTTTGGATGCCTCCAGAATTGATTAAAAGTCAAAATTATGATACAAAAGTCGACTTGTGGTCGTTGGGAATTACTTGCAGAGAAGCGTCAGATGGAACACCTCCTTATATGGACTTACCACCGATGAAAGCTTTGTTTAAGATCACTACAAGTGGTATCCCACCACTCCAAGGTAATTGGGACGACAAATTCAAAAAATTCCTCGACAGGTGTTTGTGTGTTGATCCAACACAACGAGCAACTGCGACACAATTACTTGCAGACCCATTCTTGACAATGGAGTGCACGGAAAACGAATTTGTCGACTTTTTGGACGAAGTCAGAAAACTTGCGGATGAGGAACTGGCTCAAGAAAATTCCCAGGAAGGGGCAGATCAAGACTCACAAGGTTCTCAACAAGAATAATAAGACAACATTAATAATTTCTAAACAGATCTAATTCATTTTGCACTGTGACTTGGGTTCTTTATTGAAGTGGACTCTGCTCTATTTTTGGTGTTCTATTAAACTAGTAAAAATAGTATTTTTATCTATATTATTATTATAGTTTTTAATCAATTGTTAAACTATTATTATTTATTTATAAAAAATAATTATATAATTACATTAATAATACCAAATGGTTTAATTATAATTAACCTATAAAGACTTTATTTGAAAAAGTACTTTTTACGAAACAATAATTCAATAGTATCTAAATGGTATTTTTTGAAAAGAATGAAGTTGATGTTTTCAACAAAGTATTTTTTTCAATAATTAGAAGAAGAGTAAACCGGTCTTTAATAAACAAGTGATTTGTTTTATCGGCACTTCCTGTTTTTTGGGAAACAAAAAGATAATCTGGGCATTTTTTGGCACTTCGTCAGTGAGGTGTTTGTTTTAAATATTTGAAAAAATCTGTCCAGAAAGAATCGAGAGCTTTAAAATCTCATCACAAATCTCCTTGAGCTACAAAAAAGAATACAAATTTGTCAATAAAAACAAAAAAATGTTAAAGACAGAAGGAAATGAGCTGTCGAGAATAATCAGTTTCATTCAGTTGACTCAAAACCTCAAAAAAGTGAAAGCAAATAGTTGTTTAAAACCATTGTCAATAAGATTGTAACTTACCCAAAGACCCAAATGATTGCATTATAATCAAGTCAAAATACTCTCATTAAAAACAAGAATTGCTGGTTCAAAAAAAAATGACTAGCTCACCTCTACGTGGCTTTTTTCTAAGAAATAAAAAGACCTAAAATGACTGTAAAACCATTCAGTGAATGTCAAAGAATAGATTAATAGGTGGAGCTTTGTGGGAACACTACTCAGGGAAAGTGAAAGACCACATGGACAACCCTCAGCATCGTGGAGAGATTACTGAAGAAGAAGCCAAGAAGATGGGATGCAAATTGGTTGTTGCTGACTGGGGAGCAGAAGCTTGTGGCGACGCTGTCAGACTTTACTGGGCAGTCGACCCAAAGACAAACATAGTTGTTAACTCGACTTTTAAGTCATTTGGATGCGGCACTGCTATCGCGTCTTCTGATGTCACTGCTGGTCTTTGCATTGGTAAAACAGTCGATGAATGTTTGAAAATCACAAATCTGGACGTCGAACGTGCTATGCGAGACGATCCAAATACTCCGGCTGTCCCTCCACAGAAGATGCATTGCTCTGTGATGTCCTATGATGTCGTCAAAAAGGCGGCTTCGATTTATAAGGGCGTTGACGTTGAAGCACTTGATGACAATGAAATTGTTTGCTCGTGCGCTCGAGTCACTTTACGATTGATTAAAGAGACTATTAGAATGAACGACTTGAAGACCGTTGAAGAGATTACCAATTATACAAAGGCTGGTGCGTTCTGTGGATCGTGCAAGAGACCAGGAGGACATGAAGCCAAAAAATATTACTTAGAGGACATCTTGCGAGAGACTCGAGCCGAGATGGAGATTGAAAAAATGAAGAAGAACTGCAACTCGACTGACTTTGAAAAGTTGACGATGGTCAAGAAGATTGGGAAGTTGAATGAAGTCTTCGAGAAATTTGTTCTTCCTATGGTTCAGAAGGATGGAGGAGATGTAGAAGTGTATGAAGTGAAGGATGGAGTCAATGGAGAAATCATGGTCTACATTCAATATGGTGGGAAGTGTTGTGGGTGTTGTTCTGCTGCTACATCGACCAAGGATAAAATTGAAAATATATTACACGAAATTTTGTCGCCCAAAATCGTCGTGATACCCGTTAATATCACCCCAAAGACTGAAGACCCCCTCCTCGACAAGCTTGAGAATGAAACATGCTTGAAAATTGGAACCAAGTAAATGTGTTAGTTCATTTTAGTTACTAATTTACTAATTCTAATAGAATTTGCAATGAATTTTTTTATTATAACTTTCAAAATAGAAAGAACTAAGAAAGAATAGTAAAGGAATGCTATTACTGGTATACTTTTGTATATCAACCACTGTGGCATTCAACGAATTGGTCTCATTCACACCACCGTTCGATCCACTCACTTTCACGGAAAATTTCAGAACATCCGGACCTGTATCGGCAACGAAAAGTGGAGTCAGGCTGACACCAAACGGAAGAGGAAAAAGTGGGTTTTTTTCGACGAAATTAAAAATCGAGAAAACAACATTTGAATTGGAGAGTGAATATGAGGCATTCTGCCAGTTATCATGTGGTGGTGGAATTGGGTATTGGCTCAGCGAAAATTGGATGGGAAGGGGCGGACTCTTTGGTGCAAACACATCGTTCTTGGGTGTTGGAATCTTTGTTGTATTTCAAGATAACAAAGAGGTGAAAATAGCAGCAACGTACAACGGCGGCGCAGACATCTCCACTAAGGACAAAGACAAATTTCCCCACTGCACGATCGGCAGAACTGAAAATTCCAAAAAGGCGACCATCACCATCAAATATTCCCCCACCGACAAATTCCTCCAAGTCATCGTCACACTGATGGACGGACAACAAATTGACTGTGTTCGACTGAATGATGTCGTTTTGGAGTCGTTTTATGCGGGAGCGTCTGCTACCAACGACCAGAATATGCTTACGTCTTATCAAATCAACACGTTCAAATTTGAGGATCTTGACTTCAAAGCAATGCATCAACAACCACCAACAGCAAAGAACATGGACCCAACGGAAGTCCCCCAAACCGAACCACAAGTGGTTCCAACCCCACAAATAGTCGAAAGTGAAGTGGTTACAGAGGACCCTGTCGTCGATGAAAAGGACGAAAAAAAGCTTCCGGAGAGATTCGAAGAGAAGAAAGATGGACTTAATACTTTAGAGCAAGACGAAGAGACCATTCAAGTTAACACTGAAACTGCAGAGTCGAATGTTAGGAGTGAAATTGGACTTTTGAGACAAGAAGAAAAGCAGTTGATGAAAGAGTACGAAGGTATGAATGTTCAAGACGACGAATTTGCAATACTCATTGGTGACGAAGTGTATCAAGGCAATGACGAGACGGAGAAGCAGCGTTTTGAGCAATTGCAAAATTGGCAGAAGCGGAAGGAAGCGTTGGACGAGAAGATCAAAAGCTATAAAGCCAAAGAGAAGTTGAATCAACAACAACTCAAAGAAGAAGACAAGAAGAAGAGAGTACAAGAAGAGGAAGAGCGTCGCAAACAACTTGCGGAGGAAGAAGAGCGACAACGCGTTGATAAACTTCGCAAAGAAAATGAAGAGAAACAGCGACTAGAAAATATCAAAAACGATTTATTCACGATGTATGACAAAATCAAGCCCGTTAAAGATGGGATGAGTCAAATCTTTAAAAACAAAAAGGAAGAAGAACTTCTGAAGATCTTTTCTGGTGTTTTAGTTGATGAAGAGTTTGTTCTAATATCGATTCTAACACAATCAAAGGGAATGGAATAACATTGTAGTAATCATAGTAAAAATAGAATCAAACAAATTGTCGACAACCTTGACTTCGATGATATGAAACTCAACTTGGGGAAGATCAGAGCAGACCTCAAAATTGTTAAACCAAACTTCATTCAAGTGACACAACCAAATCAATTCTTGACTTGGGCTTTTATGATTCTGTTACTTTCTCTCGCATCATTCTATGCATTCAAACTTGCTCGATCAACAAAGAAAGTGTTCCACTAAATTCATTACGTTGTTATTTCAAGTTCTTTTTGTAATATACTATATATATTTTATATAATACCTTTGTTATAAAATTTAGGTATTTATTTATATATTTATTAAATAGATAAATTATTATTTTATTAGTATTATTTTAATACAAATATTATTTTTAAGAGAATACAAATTTTTAAAATAGTGTTATTTTGTTTGATACAAATTTTGTGTTCTAATAAAATTATTATAAGAAAAAAGAAAATCAAAAAAAAATTTGTAACAAAAAATTCTGTACTATCAAATAATAATAACAAATTATTAACTGATTCAAATTATCATTGAACTTCAAGTAGTAAAAGATTTATACAATATATAATAAAAAGAATAGAAAATAGGCATCAAGTAATAAGTTAATTACAGTTTAATTTTAAACAAAGAATAAAATGTTTTAGATAAGAATAACTAAGAGAAAGAAATCGAAAAAAACAAATAATGTCTAACAAAAAAGACGACGAGAAAACACAGACTAACCCGACACCACCCGTCGACTCCTCACCTCAATCCCAACAAACACAACCGTCAGGAGACATTTCACAGCACAGACGTAGTCACAAAAAAATAGTCGCTGTTGACACCAAGAGAACAAGTTTTATGGACAACGACGGGAATTGGACGGGGGAGAATGTGTTTGACCAAGTCTCATTAATTGGAAGTGGAGGGTTTGGGGAGGTTTGGAAAGTGAGGCACATATATATGCATTTCACAGCCGCAGCCAAAATTATTAAGTCTGCAAGATCCTCCATGGAACAAATACAAACTGAAATTGCCACTTTTAAAACGATGAAACACACGAATATCTTGTCGTACCTTGGAACGTATAGAGACAAAGAGTCTGTATGGATCGTCATGGAGTTGTG